GCTTTCTTCATTCATATGCTCAGAGTCAAGTTCAGATTCAACATTACTCTTTGCTTGTGACTTAGCAAATTGTTCGTAAAGTTGTTTCTACAGAAAATATCAAACAAGAGTCATGTCTCATGACATGGCGAATAATAATTGATACATTTAATTGTTACTACTTACCTGTAGGTCACTAAGTTCGCAGTAATAATCTTGAATGATTTTGGGGGGTAGATCATTGAGGACATCTTCTTTCAATCTACGAAGTAAAAATGGTAATACTTGTTTATGGAGAGCTTCTAGAGCAAGAGCACCTAAAAAAAAACAAAAAAAAATCAAAAATGATATAATTATGGACATCAAGAACTCGTTATATAATTAAAAATTCTGTTTACTATTCTTACCAGCCTCTTGCTCTTTTGACGAACTTTTACTATCCCTACTGGCCAATATGGGCTTTCCGAATCTCTCATTAAATTGCTTCTCGGTGCCCAAAAATCCAGGCATCAAAAAGTCAAAGAGTGACCACAACTCCAGCACATTATTCTTTACGTTTTGTAAGTAAAAAAAAAAAAAAAAAAAAAGATAAATCTAGATCTGTTTAAGGTAGTTATAATTAATTACTTTTAACTAACCTGAATGGGTGTCCCAGACAATATTAGTCTGTGATTTGCCTTCACAGACTTGACAGCTTTGGTTATTTTTGTTTTGCCATTTTTGATCACATGGCCTTCATCCAGAATACAATAGTTCCAATGGATGCCGGCCAGATCATCTATATCGTTGCGCACTATATCATACGACATAATGACCACGTCATAACTAGACAACTTTGGTCGTAGCCTTTAATCATAGTACTTTAGTTAATGTTGAACTTAAGTTCCATGAAAAAGAAAAATCATTTCGTTACTGAAACTACCTGTCTCGATCTTTAGGATTGCCCGAATATAAGATGGGTTTCAGTGAATCGGTATAATTTAAAATTTCATGATACCAATGCCCCGTTAATGTGGGAGGACATACTACAAGGGATGGACAATGTGCACAATCAAGTGACTTTGTCACAGCATATTTGGTGGCACGTATATGATTATCACTGGCAAGAATGCAAATAGATTGGAGCGTTTTGCCAAGACCCATGTCTGCAAAATTTTAATAAAAGATATAATAAAGATTATGATTGAATTTAATACATTATCCGCGACGAAAAATTTTCTTACCATCGCACAGTATACCATGCAGTTGATATTTATTAAGGAACGCAAGCCAATTAACGCCTTCCTGTTGATATTTTCTTAATTCTGCCTTGATTGTTATTGGAATTTCGAATGGATCGAGTTTACTACTATCAAGGAGTTGTGAAAGGAACCTCCGTTCATCATCCCGATGTTTCAACAATTCCTCAGACAACCCGGGAGGATCTGGTATTCCAGCCTGCAACGAAAATGATGTTAATATGTAATATAAGAGAGGCTTTCGAGGAAAGAAAAGAAAAAGAGAACAAGTTTTACCTCCAAAGGTACTAACTTGATTAACATAGCGAAACAGTTCGTGCTAACCAATCGAACATGTTCGTCTACGTCGCTCATTCGACCTAGAATGGGAACTATCAAAAAAATAACATATGGAAGAATTTTTGCGTCCATCGATTGCACAACATCTGTAGGCAGGTTAAGGGTTAAGAAGAATTATGGTAAAATTAGACAAGATAACACACGGAAGGTGATAACATAAGACCCGTGAAATGTGAAAACATCTCTAAGCAATATACATACGATATATTAATTCTGCGGCTCCTTGACGATGTGTAACATTTTGTGGATCCCCTAATAAAGGTAACACTTGATTGATAATGATTTGCATACATGGGATGGTAATTACGTTCGCAATAGTGGCAAAGCATCTGGCGGCCATGGAACGAATTACCAGATATTGGCACTGAATTGCCTTTACTATATGAGGAAGGAGTTCTGTTATCTGTACATTAATCATCCACTAATTAATATAAATATTTCGTTAATAAGATAACACTATTACAGTCAATTAATTACCTTTGGATGTAAGGATTCATGAATTACGGGAACCAATGATTTCAATATTTGCAGAGTATCAATGACCTCTTGCCCTAAACTAACATTTGATTTGAGAGTTGAATTTATTTTCTCTTTTTCGTCTTAATAATATTGAAGTAGATTCGATGAGTTATTCATGATGATGTCATTAATTCAGGAAAAGATTAAATAAAGAATATTTACATACCGTGACCAAATATGGTGTTCAACGAAGAATGCATACACACCCATAATTTAGGAACGATATTAAATAATCTGGATCCAAATTGCGTAGCAAATTGTCTTAGCGCTATTTCAGCTCCACGCTTTATCAGTTGCGATTTTAACTTTTCTTCTTCACCAAGGGAATCACCATTAGATGAGGACTTGTCAGGTTCCTTAGCCTTTTGCAAGGACAATATGCCTTCTTTCGTACGATTTGATTGTAGCTCGGGAGTAGTAGTTGGGTCGGAACAAAGAAAAGTGCATAAATTTTTCACGATCTTATCGTTTGGATTCACTCTTACTGAACTGTCTTCTAATGAACAAAGTGAAACAAGACTAGCCAATGTAGCAGCCGAACGTTGTTGTAGCTCTATATTTTCTTCTGATTTAATTGAATTCATTATAGATCTAATAATAGGATTAAGCTTGGAAGGTAATACTTGCAATGCAACGACGGCTCCGGCAATTGCTGCGAACACAATAATATCATTTTTTTGTTTTGTAGCCGTATAATATCCAATTGAAGCAACCACACGATGATGACGATCATACAATTGACTTTGTATATCTTCAGTCGAGGATTTCCGACTTTTTCCTGGTATCTGAGTCATTAAATTATCGAAGATAGTGGTGGAAATTTCTGCTGCCGTTTCAACACTGAACAAAGGAGTCGAAATATCCGTTTGGTTCATCAACTCACCAATCACGTGAGTGGGTAACGCAGGAATAATGTCGGAATTTACTTTTCCGACAGATACGAAGGTATTAAACAATGCTTGACACTCTCCCCGAATACGTCGAAGAATAGAAACTAGTTCAGAATAAAAGTTTGGTGGGCTAGACTCTAACATTGAAACCATGAAATTAGAAATAATCGAGGCAAGAGAAGAATCTTGAACCAATGAGGTATGGGTGCTGAAATTTCCTTTTTCTATGGTGGATCGCGACCATTCTTCGGTGATGATGGCTGCTAATTGTTTATTTGATGCCCACGGGGAAGAAAGGTAAGCTATGATAAAATCTTTGAACGTCGTCTCCAAAGACTGATATATATAAAATGATGTTTAATAAAAGAATCACATTGAGTAAATAAAATAACATTTTGAGTTTACCTCATTTGACCAACAACTCATCAATATACCCAATCCTTTAGAAGCAGTTACTCTCCCCCTTAACACAATATCTATGGTGACCAGAGCGAAGTCTTGTTGTAACATTCCGGTATCAATACTATGACCCGATGTCAATGCTGCGTTTCCATTATTATTGTTTGACTGGACACGATTTGAGTTTCTCCTTGAACTAGTGGATGAAGGCAACGTTGTAATAGGCGTTGTTTCCATAGGAATCGGGCCATCAGGAAAAAAGAATAATCGACGATCAATCGGTGTGCCCAACGGGGTCATTATTATCGAAAACCAAGTTCCAATGTGTTGAGACGTAAAGTTTATGAGCCTATTCTCTAGGCCAGGCGTTGATGCATGAGAAACCAAACAAGACCAAACTTTTAAAGAGAGATCGAGAACCCCCTATATGTTAAAATTATTCAGTAATAATAATGTACACCATAATGAACGACATTTTTTTTTTTCTATTAAACCTTTTTTTCTTCAACAATCATATTTTGGAACACGAGTCTGAAAGTACGGTGATCAACCCATTCTTCTACCTCGTTCATACCAAGAAATGTTAGTAACGTATTAAGCACCGCGATACGTACGGAGGTAATTGTGTGACGAAAGAATGGATACAGTCGTGGTATCAAAGTTCCCAAAGAATGGCTACTAAAAAATTTACGGGAGTAAGTTCTAAAATTTTCAGAGCGGAATACAAAAATAATAATTACTTTGGATTGGATGAGGCAGCCGCTCGCATATACTCTAATACGGTAGGAAAAGAAAATAATTTTGCTAAAAAACAAAAGGTGTAAGTTAATCTTTTCCAATACTAAAGATGTTGGATTTTGTCTATAAACGCTATGTAAGGTTAAGTTACCTAAGAAGTCCATTACACTAGCTGTAGAAGCCGTTAGATCATCCTTAAGATCTTTAAGACAATCCCATAAAACTGTTACGATTTCTGGAATTTTATTCGCAGAAAATTCAACAAAATAATCCGCAATAGGTATTAAAATAGAAGCCGCGACCGCTCGGACATCATCATCGCTGTCTTTTAACCTTTTTTTTATTAAATACGTGGTTTATTAGCTTTAACGACATTGAAATAAATACATCATAAAATGCATGACTTACCCTACTATTACCGCATCGACTATACTATCTAAAATATTGTTCACTAGATCTTTTCGTACAGCAACAGCATACTTCAGGCCCAACATCCCAGCGTGTCTAACCTCCCATATTGACGGCTTACTACCGCTCATATTCGACTGATATATCATTTGCAATAAAACTTTGTGAACACTTTCTACACCTCGAGGCGACATATATCGAAGAAGAGCGCCCATTGTTTGCGAACAAGTTTCACGCACAGGGGCTACGACCTTTAAAACAAAAAAAAATTTTTTAGAATTTCGTGACAAAATATAAATTCTATAATAAAATCCAGAGCAACCTGATCCGAGACGTAATCTCCGAAGCGATCGAGCGCAAATACACAAAGCAGACGAATAGCTACGTCTTCTAACCATTTATTGTTTCTAGCTTCGTTCTCCTCTTTCGTCAACCCCACTGATAGTTAGTTAAGAAACGTTTTCACGTTAAAATAAGTCGCACCTTAATAAATAAACGAAACATAAACAATCACCTTTACGTCCAGCTCCATGCCCCTGTACTTTAAGAATTTCTCGTAAGCCGATACATGCACCATGTCGAACTTCCCAGCAAGGACTTTTAAAGACGTTAAACTCAGTTGGAGGTCGTAGTCGATTAACTTGATAATTGCATAAAACTTACTGGAATAATGCCACACAAAGTGATTCACAAACATTATTAAACGGCCATTCGTTGCTCTGATCTTCTGGCAGGTTGGATCCCTCTTTCTTTGATTCGACCACAATTTTGCTTGAACATGGTTGCGGTGTGATATCAAATTGTCCATCTAATTTCCCTATTGTGGTATAAGTTATCTTAATATTCGCACTTTTATTGATTCAACTGCGAGGTTAATAATAACACACTAACCATCTCCTTCAACTTTAACAGATGGTGGCGAGATTGGAGTTGCAACTGCGGCTGAAAGCTCTCCGCTACTCTTCCTAGTATTAACTTCCACTACTCGCAATCTGTAAAACAAAATACATTAGTAAATGTGCGAATTAACGTGTAAAAAACGCTTGTTGGTCTTACTTTTCCTTTCCCTTAATCTTTGCTTCGTTCTTTGCTTTTCTCTTCAGCTTATTTCTCTCCCTCGCACTTAATCCCGCCATATCATCCGTATTCAAAACGGGGGAACGAGGCGGTGGTTGCGCATTGATCTCCACCTTGAGAGCTGTCGAGCTTTGTACTGCACCATTAATATCCACATCATCCAATAAATCGACTAAACAGATTATATAGAAGTTCTTCGTAGGTTAATCAATTAGTGAAGCTTTAGTTAAAATACACATCATTAGGCTCACCATCCATGAATTCGCCACCCAATCCCAATCTTTCTCGGAGGTTCTTGTGTTGCAATGCAAGACGTTGTGCCGGATCAAGTTCGCTAAGGTCAAGGTCATATTCCTGTATTTGTTCGAATTAATTGAGACAATGCATGCGTAATTTTGAAAGTATTCGTTAATTGTTGAAATTTATGTTACCTTTCCTGCTGAACCTAGTAACGGTTTTCCATTTTGTAATACAATTGTAATGTCGAAATTATCAAACGAATATTTATTCTCGTTTTTTTCATTTACGGTGGATTTCTCGTTCTCGATTTTGACGGCTAGAAGGAGTCAAACAGATTCGACATTAAAGGGTTAAGTTCGAATAGAAAATTGTCATATAACGTGAGACTATTTTAAAACTCGAAGTTTTAACGCCTACTTTCTGGAGGGTCCCATGGCGGGACGTTTTTGGCAATGGCTTCGATCGCTTGACCCGCAGCAATTCGAGTGTCCCATTCTTTATTGCTCAAATGAACAACAACCTGACAAAGATATACACAAAGCCCTTACTCTTTGAGTATATACTGAAGATTTTTTTTATGATTCAACAAAAAATTACCGAGAAATTTATTGATGTATAGATAAATCAATAAAAAGTTATAAAATGCACCCTTGATAACAAATTATGCAACTCTCCGGGGTGTTGCTTTTGGATCTCCCCCAATTGTTGCGCGGCTGTTAAACGAACAGCTGGAGTAGAGCCCGTATCCAGGAGGAGGACCAAACGGTCCAATCTTAACAATTGAAATCAATATTACCATGAAACTTATTAAAGGGAAATTAAAAAGTATTACTTTTCCTTTCATATGTTGTATAATACCTTGTCGCCATTAGAGATCCACAAAATTATTTGAAAGTAGGGTGTGATTGGTGGTACCAGTTTGGTAGGAGCGATAAGATATGAAATATTGATGGATAGGGCGTCTATATATATTATTTTATTTTATACATTTTTGTACAAGCCACATTTATGTTACCACGTGATCTTAAATTACAAGCTATTGCTTATCAGATCTTTATTAAACTATACTAAAGCTAATTTTTCACTTGTTTTAATTTTATCTACTCTAAGTACGACTTTGAAAGTAATTAATTATTTTATTAATAAAACTCTTTTAACTATTAATATTATTTATTGTTTACAAATTATCACTATAGATTATAACTTTTATTAAAGTCAAAATTTAATATTATATTATATTTTATTTATTAATTTCTTATAAGATTTTTATTGATTAAAATATTTTTTTATCTTTGAATTTTATTATTTTAAAAGATTTCTTGGATTTATTTTTATTTTATCATTTTTTTATATTAGTATTTTTTAATATATTAATTGAACTTCAAATTAATTTTTTTTAAATAATATAATAAATTTTTTACTTTTTCATTTAAATTTTTTTTCATTAAATTTATATAAAAGTTTAATTTTTTTTTTTTTTTTTTTAATCCACAGTCAGGCCAATATGACTTGTCTATTTTATTGTAAACATATTTGATATTTATATATTTTATGACTTTCACATATTGACTCACTTATCTATAAAATTTAATCTTCTTTAAATGCAATTAGGAAATAATATTTCACTTCCTTTGTAACTTGGATTATTCTCTAGTCATTCAAATTATTACCTATAGCTCATTATTATAAATCTTCCAAAATTCTAACTATAATTAAAAATCAAACCATTTAAAACTTTTGAATATCCAACTACTTATTATATTTACTATATTGCCTTGGGACTTTATTTATTCTGAGTCATCATCATCTTCTAATATATTTTTGGAGGAAAGAATAGAGGAGTTATTGGATTTCTTAAAGATTTAATCCATTTTTCTAGTTATATTAACTAGTATTTTAAGCTTTTTGAGTTTGTTGGTAATTTCTTAATTTTGTTTCTATTTAATATTAATACTATAGTGTTTGTTTCAAACTTTCTTTTTGAAGGTCTTCTTTATTTTTTTATAAAATTTACTAATAGTTTCTTGTATTATTGTCACTGGAATCTTAAGGGCTTTGAAATGCTCTTTTAAGATCTTGATCTTGTCTTTGTATATAAAACTGCAGATTATATTATATAAGTTTTTATCTTATTATTTAATATCCTGGATCCATTTTCTATTACTTTTTTAACTTTTGCCTAGTTTTTATCAGATAGATCTTTTGTTTTTTTAATATACTAAAGGATTTTATTTTGAAATTTGTCCTATATAATTGATTTTTTATTTTAAGTCTTGAAACATTTAAAGAGATATTTCAGAATTTCTTCTTGTGATTTGCATATTAAGTATGTTATATTTGAATATAAATCTAGTTTCTTTTCTATATCACTTGGAGAGTAGGAAGCTCAACATAGATTAGATTTATCAGAAAACTTTTGTCCTTATTGGTGCTAAAAGAGGTGTAAAAAATATTGACAGTATAAAAAAAAACTCTTTCTGCTGATCCTCTGATCACACACAAAAAAGATATTCGCAAGAAGTTTTATACTTCTTTGCTAATAAAATCTTTACACTTTCATTAAAACAACTTGAAACTTGTCTTCATGTATCTCATTTACCCTCCCTTACTTGTTTATAAACTTCTTTGAATAAAAACTTGAGCCTCTAGTGGCCTGAAAAGACTTAAGTACGCACTTCCTCTACTAAGGCCAAGAAGGTTCTAGGAAGTAAAAGGACTGACAAGTGAAGTGTCACCTTATAGATCTAGAAGCAACAAGAAATAGAGGTTTTGTTGGCAAGGGAAGGCTTATTATCCACCTTTTTACATACTGTCTTGTACCCTCTTAGAGTGTCTATTATTTTCATAGTTTTCTTGGAGGATTTTGTCTACCTCAGTTTGACCCTGAATTTCCAGTAGCACAACATCACCTGGTATCTGATTGATTGACATGAAACACGTTAGTAACTGAATGTAAACAAGCTCCTATTGGTCACCTCACGTGTTCCAATGACATCATTGGTGATAGAAAGAATTGATTGGTGCCCTGTGTCCACTTCACTCTTCCAATTGGATTAACCTACAGATCAAGTATCATGAGGCCAATAAGATACGAGCAACAAGTCCCCAAGTAGTGAAAAAGTTGCTATTCGTTCAAGCTGAGGTCTTTCACTCCTATCATTCCAGTTAGGCAAAGTTCAAAACCAATGTCTCATTTTTATCCCAGTCAGGCAATAAGACAGAATGGTCTCTAGTCCATGCTAAGCTCCAACCCTTTGGTTATAGTTGAGAATGCATTTCCCCAGAAGTTGTTGAAGAATATCGCAATCGATGAGGATTCCCACTGCTCTTCTAATACCCTCCCATCATTATGAAGCAAAAAAATCTTTGGGGAAAGACTATTTTGGGGCAATGGAAAATATACACAGTAAAATTTCTTTAATTAGGCATGGCTGTTAGAAGGTATCATACTGAAACAATATGATCTAGTCTCTACTAGGCCATATAAGAACTTGGGGTCCATCATAAGTCACCTTTTCATCGCAGGTAGATAAAAAATCACTGCTCAAAGAAGGTTGGAACCAAGTGTGTCCTGGAAGTAAAGGCTTTCACTAGGCGATAAGTCTCCTCAGACGGTACACAAGAAGAAAATCAAGATTAAGAATGAATAAGTTTCTCAAACAGTCAGGAAAGGAAAGGATATTTCAATCGGGTATTTCTTATTGAGAAGAGGTCTTGAGAAGCAGGTCTTTGGAGGAAGCTGGAAATATTTTTTACTTTTTTACTTTTTCATTTTCTTTTTGTCTACTTAGACATTTCTAGATATCTCCTCTCCTCTTTTTTCCAATCCATCTTTTTGTAGTTTTTTGTAATCCAGTGGCTTGGCCAGATATACGGCAGTGACAACCTGCTGGCAATGATGCAGTGAACTAGAAGAATCTTCACCCAAAGATACTGCGGAGGGAAATATTGTTCCCAAGATTGAACTTAGAGGCTTTTATGCTTACGACAAGTTAGTTAGATTAGAATAATAGTTTAGTTGTAGTATGTATCATGTTGCTCAAATGAAAATATACTTTTGTCTTCATTTAATTAATAAACTGACGATCTAGCCTGGCTACGGGTATACAAAAAAAAATATATATATATAATAAAAAATCAAATAATGTATACTATATAAATTATTATTTTGTTCTAATAATTGGATTTATTTCATGAATCAATAAAACATACCTTGCATCACATGTGTCATATGATCTAAAAATAGATTAAAGTAATATAATAGACAAGAACTATAGATAATAATTAAAGGAAAATATGACTATTAATTAAGGTTAACAATATATATAAATAAATAAGGTCATATTAATGCTGATTCACATTTTTAAAAAATTTTCTTTTTTGGTAATTTTTTTGAAAAATCACAAAAACTCTTCTACATTAAAACAAGCCTCAAAGGATATAACCATCCATTCCTAGGTACCAAAATCTACATTACAACAAACAAGAAAAGAGTTTCACTCAGCTTCTTTTTTGTTGACGGCCTCCTGACATCTTACTGCATCTTCTTCTTCATCAAAACCAAATGTGATCTAATGGTTATCATTGATAAATTCTGTTTTGAAGGGATTCATTCGCTTAGGTATTTTTAGAGCTCCTTTGAGGTACTAATTCCCTCTTCTCTATTTTCTTCTGGCAATATGACTTGAAGTACCCCCACTTTGACTAATCACTGTTGTTTTATGAAGAATGGGTTTACTGTTGTCCCTTGAACTCTATTTCTTATATTATAAGACATGCTATCTGTAATATAGCTTCCCTGCACTGTTTCTTTTAACACTTCTATTTCTATTTATTTTATCTGTTCCACCACTTTTCTATCCTCCATTATGACTTCTTTAATGGAGTATACTTCTTCGAGTTCTGTAGAAGTTGGTTGAACTTCCATTGGGTTGTTTTCCATCATAGAAACTTCAACTTGGTTAGTATTTGATGCCTACATTACTGGCTTGCTTGTCAACATATTGTACACCTTTTCTTCTAGCATAGGTGCTTCCAAATCTTTCTTTTTACCTTCCCCTTTTCCCAGAGAGAAAGAATATATTGACACAGTATACATTCTTTCACCATCATCAAAGGATCAATCCTTAATAGATTGGCAATAATATTATTTAGTATCGAGAAAACCTGTATTGCTTCGGCAGGGATGTGGAGTTGAATAGTTATTGTTGGTTTCAATTCATGCTGTATCATTTTTGTTTCCCAGAGTACTTGTTGAGAATCTTGATGAGAGGTTATTTTTCCTAATACTTTCAATAGCTCATTTTCTCTTTTCTCTAGGATTTTGATTATTGTTTATTCTTTCATTGACATGTTGACACGTGATATGAAGAATTTAACACATATTATTATTGTATGGATGTCTTTTTAACCACGTGATCGGATAAATATTGTTGTGTATTTATTTTTCCGTTTGACGTATATAGCAATAAGTTGTTATATTGATATTAGGGAGTCTATAACACATGGCTTCTATGTGTTTACCTGTCCAGTGTTTGTTTATTGACATGTAACTGGTTATGATCAACTGTTGATCTTGTTTTAGATAATATGTGCTGTTGATTCTATACATTTTAGTTTGTTGATCTGTCACATTCTCTTGTTTTGTTATAGATTGATTGACTTGTTTTGATACATGTCAATCAGATGAAGAGTTAACTTGTTTGTGTTTGCGTGATGTAAACTAGTTGATCTGGAGTTGTTGTGTTGTTGTGATCTTTTAGCTGTTTGATCAAAGAGACTTGGATGTTCTCCTGAGTTTCAGTTAGCTTTGAGGTTGTGCTGATTTATCGATATAATCTATTGCTTCTGAGACTTCTCTTAGTGTCTA